TGCGGGCAAACTTTCATTTGCTAATTGCATCAAGGAGCTTAACCTTTCCAGTTTGGAGCCCAACTTCCCATCTACCACCCAGAGTCTGAGAGACCACTGAGACCATCACTCTGAAGATCAGAAATAGTTGCAGCGGAGAGAAGGAGGGGCTGTGTTTTACATCACAAACATTTATATTACAATGCTCTTATACTGTCCTTTGAAACATCTGGAGCTGAATAAAGGTAAGGACATGTTGCTGGAAAGGATGGTGCACCTCTCCTTCAACTTCCTTCCATCCCTTCAGTGTGGCCCAGCCCATGACCATGCTGACCAAAAATAGTTAATTGTTACAGGGAAGGATCACGAGGAACTCAGCGCTCCAGCAGCGCACACTTACCTTGAAAAGAAACCCCGGGGGCATGTCAGCTCTTTCAGAAGAAGCACCTCCTTCCACGGTGCCATTGACAGTAGCAGGGAAAGTTTCCACAACAACAGCAGGCAGAGAGCTCTGGGTATGAGGCAGCAGTTGGGGAAGGAAAAAAGCACAGCTGAGAAAGGGGACTCCAAAATGGCAGCTCCTATTCCCACCCTGCAGGATCCACGTTAAAGACTATTCTGGACCCCAAGCCCATTCCAAGGTGTCAGTGGGTTTTCCCAGCATACTAGTCAGTGACAAAAACACTCCAAAGGACAGCAGAAGCAGCAGAGAGAAAAGGCAGGAGTGGTGACTGCTGTCTTCCTTTGCTTTAGGCTACAGTGGAGCAGAGAGGATTTTCTGAGACCATACTGCCTAGCATTGCCCATTCACAGCCATCACCACACAGTTCCTGTAGACCCTCTGTAGGACAGACAAGTCACATGTGACAGCCTGGAGAAACCAAGCAGCAACAAGATGGGACTTATTCCAGCCCTTCTAAAAGGGTGGCAGCGTCAGAAAATAGAAGAAACCCGGAGATTCAGAATGTACCAGCAGAGTCCAGAGGACAGGGTAGATAAAGTAAACGGCAGGCAAAGAGGAACCCAGCAAACAGCATAAGTCTAGCACAGCACCTGTGGGCTGGCTTTAGGATATGGATGAAGGGACAGTTTCTTTTTTAGATCTTCCTGCAGAGCTTCTCCCTAAGCATCAAACAGATCCTGGCTTCAACACACACAATTCATAACACACAAGGCCCGAGTCTGGACTCTGAGTAAGAGGATTGTAACCGTTAAGAGTGGCAAGGATGTGTTTTTCCAAGCACTTGCACCTCTCTCTTTCTAGTCAGTCTCGCGTATGTCTGCTGTACCACAAAGGGACGTGATGGAGAGAAGGGATGGCACTTCCTCATGGTGCTTACCGAGGCAGATCCTGAATCAGCTTCGGTTTTAGATGCTTCGGCTCCAGCTGCTGCTTCTGATCCAGCTGCTTCAGCACCTGCATGAGCTGCTTCTGCAGGCTGCAATAGAAAAGCCATCCAGGTAGAGTAATGCTCATTACAGCTGTGCGCACAGCTTATTCTGCCCAAGAGCTGTACACTGTTGACTGCTGCCATCTGCTGACAAATAGGTGAGAAACTTCTTGCTAGACCTCCCCCCCCCACCCTGTTTCTCTGTACCTAGGGAAATAGTAAAGCCTGCATTTCCCCACTCCAGCCACACAGCAGACAACACTCCAGAGAAAATCACTGCTACCTCAAAAATCCCGCATGCCTCTTTCTTTGTAGAAACTTACAGACCTACTTTATACATGCACATGTAGATTTCTCACTTATAAAATATGTGAATAGACAAGTCTACTTACATGCTAAGAGACAAATGTCTCTAATAGGCTAGTTCCAAGGATCAATAATCAAGGAATATTTAAGCCTTCACATACTCTTGGAAACAGAAGAGCCTGCTAATAACATATCCAGGTACGGAACGTTCTCTGGGACCCAGCATCCTCACGACATCAGCATTGAATCAGACTAAACTCAAAAACGTGCTAATTTCTCCCAACTTGATTTGGGATGGGCCCACACAGTTATGAATTTGGACTCTGCTCTTAATATTCTGTTCATAAGAATTTGCTATGAATATTCTGCATGGCATGTACACACACGCATGCATTTGTGTAGGTGAGGAGATTCTAACACACAAAAGCTACCACAACCATGGAGAAATATTCAGCATCACCTAAATACTAAAAAGTACTGCCTGGTAGAGGTTGTTCTAGGAATCCTGAGGATTATGGTTTCTGTACACAACAAAAGACAAACCAGATAAACACCTATAATATACTTCTAGCGTTTCAGGCTTTTATTCTCTCTCACTGAGGCTGGGCTAACTCTTTTCTAGCACAAAATTAAACAGATTCTCTTGCCCCTCCCTCAGCCTCCCAGAAGACACTAAACTACAGAAGTGGCATGAAGTAAACCTGTTCAGAGATTGCATTCAACTGGGCTCAGCTGAGGAGCAGTAAGTTCTCACAGGGTGTTAAGCAAACTCATGTTGAATCATATGATGGAATCACTTCCCACCACACCTCCACTTCTACAGTATTTCTAGACGCTTTCTCTTTGGTAAACAGCTGAAGTAAGGATCCTATCAGCTGTCCCCTACAAGGGTAAGGAAGGCAGTCGCTTGGTAAGAGATGATTCAATGGGCACAGCTAAGGTTCCTCCTCCGAACGGTTTTAATCTCTTTAATCTCCTCCCACCTGCTAACAGAAATTGCAGATGCAAGACCTTAGCTATAATCAGCCCCTTAGGAGACTCACCAGGAAGCATCTGGGAAGACTCCCAACAGGAACCTCAGGGGTCTAGTTCGCAGGATCACAGAATGGTTGAAAGGTAACTTTAAAGGGACCTTAAAAAGGGGCCTCAAGGGCCCCCTAAAGGGAATTGAGGGGGACCTTTAAAGATCAACTAGTCCACCCCCCCCTGCTCAAGCAGGGTCATGTTGCCCAGGACCATGTCTAGATGGCTTTTGAATATCTCTAAGGATGGGAGACTCCATCACCTCTCTACGCAACCTGTTCCAGTGCTCAGTCACCCTCACAGTAAAAATTTTTTCCGTATATTCAGACAGAACTTCCTGCATTTCAGGAAAATTTGTGCCTCTTGCCTCTCATCCTGTCACTGGGTGCCACCAAAAAGTCTGGCCCCCTCCTCTTTACAACCTCCTTTCAGATATTTTAATGCACTGGTAAGATTCCCCCCTCCGTCTTCTCTTCTCCAGGCTGAACAGTCTCAGCGCTCTCAGCCTCTTCTCATATGAGAGATGCTCTAGTCCCTTAGTCATTTTAGTATCTCTTTGCTGGACTCACTCCAGTAGCTCCATAGCTCTCTTGTACTGGGGACCATATTCCAATTTGTGACCTGAGTGTCTTCATGGCCAGTCCATAGCCATTTGTTCTCTATACTATAGAGTGCGTGAGCCTCTTTGTAGACTCTAATCAGAGATCTACTTTATACCTGCAAAATATCTGCTACTATATCTAGATATCCCATTTTTAATACATGTGAATACACTAGCCTTGGCGTGCATACACCCCCTATACATCTGGTACACACACGTGCCCCTGAATACAGCCACATTAAAAATAATTCACTGTCCAAATTTCTTAATGATGTAATTTTCCTAGTCCTGACCCTACAAAGCACTTTCGCCCAGGTTCAACTGACCAGTGAAACCCTTGCCTTCCACCAGTTTTACTATAAAACTAGATACTCTGTTTAATCTAGGTTCTGCAGGTACTCCTAGCCAGCCCCATGGGGCGACTGGAGCCCAGGCACACAGTCTCTGGACTGGTCGCAAACCCTCCCCCAGACGCTTACTCTCACTCCCATGAGAACGTTCTCTGGCAAGACGACACATGGATTGACCATGTTGCAAACCAGATTCTGCATTAGCGTTTCCTTCCTTCACATCTTCCTTCCTGCCATCTCACTACTTTTATCACATCTGGGCTGACCCCATACCAAGATATGAGTTTGTGCCTGAGCTTGAGCAGACTCAAAGAACCAGTCACGCCAGCAAACTTCAGCATGTTCTGGATTAACTGTGAGCCTGGGCAGAGGAGGCCTAGCTCTGCATAAGGCAACAACCATGGTATCCCATAACTCAATACCCATCTGGCTGCTAGCAATACATTGGCATAATGTTCAAATTAGGTTTCTAATAACAGTAGCAATAAGCAAGAAATAAGTACCCTGGTTTAACAATAACCCTTTACTTAACCTTCAGTTGCCCCAGTGGTGCCATTTAACACACATTTTTTCTCCTCTCATCTCCTTCCACATGTCTCCTCATCACGTGTCCACAGGCCTATACTGCCAGGGGATATTATAAATAGTAGAGTTGCTGCCATCCTGCAGATGATACCCACAGAAGCCTTGGAAATGGTAACATAAATGCATGTACATGAAATGCTACAAAGGCTTCTCCTGTTTAACTAGATTCACCCCCAGGTTGCTTTGTATTTAGATTCAGTGAGACTGGAACTGGGATAGTTGCCAGCCCAACTCTATCCGGCCAAGCATGGTTTTTATTTGGACAAGTGAAAAGGAGCTTTTAAAAGCAGTTAATTTGCAAAAACAGTATTTAATAACCAGAGGGATGGAATCCAAATTAATTCCCTGGATTTCAAAGGGTATTTTCATGTCAACTACTTATTTTTCTATTTCAGGTACCTATGGGCGTCTCAAGGCCTACACAAGCATTGATAGTCATGAGGAGATAATAAAGGGAGAACTGCTCACTGCCGTTCCTAGGTCTGAAAGCTTTGTTTACTCCAAGAGCATCCTCATATACACCAGATGCAAGTTTACTAGTGTGTAGAACTAAGCAAGTTCTCCTGCATCCAAGGTTCTATGCAGTTGATTAACCTCATGGCATGTGGGACTACGTAATCACGCAACACATCTGCTCTTATCAGCAGCTAGAGCAAATACTTTAGAGGGCTCCTCTAAAGAACAGAAGGATTCCCCAGGCACCGGGAGCTCTGCTTTTCAAACAATGTACAGTATTGTCAAGATGAAAATTGGCATGGTGAGGGCATCCTGTCTAGTAGCTCTCCTCTGTTGATAAAATTGTCCTTTGGGTCCAATCAGTTTCCTGTAATGAGAGAAGGGTAAAAATGGCTCCAGAAAATCTTTTACTGCCTAGATTGTAGATTAAGCATCTGAGGTTCTGGTTCCCACCACGCATTTTCCAATGACATGATCCCAAAACTCTAGAATGTGCAAAACTCTTCAAAAAACTTCATGCATGAACATAGGGTCTCATCCAAGATCCGCCACATAACCAAGACTTTGCGCTCTCTAGAACAAGTGACTGCCAGGTATCTAAATCCAATTAACACCTAGAGGAGTTAGGTGTCTCTGAATACATCTGCTAGGTGTACTTATGTTTACCCATGCATAAGCCACGCAGGACCATCATACTCGGAACTCCACTCGAGGTTCCCTGGTGATCTCATGCACGTAACTCATCATCATGAACTCCTTCTCACAGTCTGGCCAGAAACAACAATGTTCTTAGGTATTTCAAGCCTTCTTGCTTCCAATATTAAGCAGGAGAGCAAAGGTAGCAATTAAGAAAAAATTTTGGTTCTATTCAATAACTAAAACCCCCTCTGCCTCCCACAAATGACAGACAGAAGGCAGTAGGTTTGAGTAGGTCCTTATTTTGTTCAAACAGCTCTCTCCAGTCACTTTCTGTCTAATAGCCAGAACTGAGTTTACTTCCCTTTGAGGGGCAAAAGAGATGGGCTGTCATTTTGTGATCCTTAAGGACACATCAGTGCTTCCTCCTGCCACTACAGGGATACTTAGTGCTAGTAAAGATAGGAAGACTATAGCTTGCTTTCTGTCTCGTGATTTGAGTGCTCAATTAATGCAGGAGAAACCCTCTAAAGGTCGAAAATCCAACGCTTCTTAGGGGCCCACTCTGCTGCACTGCCCTGCTAGCAGGATACAGCCATACCTAAGCCCTGCTCATCCACTTCTAAGGCATGAGATATTTCTTTGTGAAAAGAGACTTCTCCCTTTAAGACAGACAGAGAGTAGACATAAATGGGAATGACAGATGTTAAACACTTATGGTTGATAAAATGCACAAGGTTTCCCTTCTCTTTCATCTTTCTCAGCAACTCCCAGGTCCATGTGAAGGAGTATTGGCCACAGGGGAGTCCCTGGGCCAGGCTCTCAGCAAGGGTGAAGCTGTGGCCTCCCAAGCGTTAACTCTGGGTTCTTGAGAATGGAAACGCTGGTAGGGATTCAATTCCCCAGCACAAGCCAAGGTCACGTGCTTACGTCTACACCATAAGATACAGGCAGTGCAAAATCAGGCTGGAGACCCAGATCGAGCGCGCTCTGTCCACACTGCTGGCTGTCTGTTCAGAAGGGCTCAAAGTAGCTGTGCTTGAAATACCTCCCAGTGGACTTAGTCTGCAGCACTCTAAGATCCTCCCAGGCCCGATCCATTTAGAGCATGTAAACAAGTGTCTGGTTTGGGTACACACATATGCAGAGTATGCGCAGGCTCTCCCTTCCAGGGAGCTCCAAAGCTGGGGTTGAGGCAGACACCAGGTAAGTCTCAGACCTGCACTTAACAGGAGACACAGGCTGAGCTATTTCACACAGCCTTTCTGGCAGTGTTGGTCAATAAGCAGCGTGCACTGCAGATAACCAACCCCAAATGTGTATGTGCAATGGTACAGACAGTAAGGACCAGAGGCAGGTAAATACAGGGGCAGTTGAGAGGTACATGCATTACATGTAATCGAGACAAACAGGACACAGGAAACAGTTCAGCGTTTAGGAGCTAGTAGGGTGGGGGCAAGAGAACATGATGCCAAAGTGGGATTAGGTTTGAGGAGAAGCTCACAGTGTCATGCCAAGGGAAGGACAAGCGAGCAAGCAGGGAAAGGCAATGGGGTCGTCTGCCGGTGGAGGGAGAGGCATCAGTTACGGAGTGCCAGACCTGACTTTCAAACAAGTCAGTCCTGGGGCTTCATGGAAGACGCAAAAGTGGGTTCAGCAGCACATGGAGCAACTTTGGGTTGGGTTGCAGAGAGGAAGAGCAGAGGGCGAAAGGGAAACAGATGATGCACAACGAGATGGTGCTGGTACATTCACAGTATACGGTGAGAGAAGAAAGCCATATTAAGTTCTTACCTCCCATAAATCCCAAGGTAAAGACTAAGCGTGTCAAAGAGCAACAAAAATAAAAACATGTTTACATGTGATCATTTCAGTTGAGTACAAACATTACACAGGCTGATCAGACTGAGGCAGAAGTACACATTCAACAACACTTACTTCTGCAGTATTTTTTTTTTTTTTATTTTTTTTTTTAAGTACTTGAACTTATATATCCCTCCCCATGGCATAGCCAAATTTAAGCACCCAGGCGTTTGACTAAGGATACTTCCTACCTCTGCTATGGAAGGGAAATAGCCAGGCCACACTCGCTTATCAGTGGTAGACCACATAGCCAGAAACAAAAAATTCATGAGTTTATGGTCTATCAAGGTTAAATACACTCCCACGCCTTCACAGCCCACAGATTTGGCATGATTTCAGAGCAAGACTTCAACTTGCAACTTTGGCTCAGTAGTGAGGTGTCTTAACTTCTCTGCCACAGCGCTCCATACAAAGCAAATTTAACTCCTTTGAAAACTGGGTGGCTTTTGCTGACTGTATAGCAGTGCCTGTTATTGGAAAGCACTGATTTGAGACTCTTTTTAGTGATTTCTTAAGTTAATAGTGAATACAGTAGTACCAAAAATCAGCTACTGCTGAGCAGTTTTGAAAATCCCTCTCAATGTAATATTTGTTGCTTGCTGGAAGGGTAACTAATTGCTTAATTTTAAGGCAAATTTATACTCATCCAATGCCAATATACCCATTTACCGGTTTTAACTTGGATATCTCGAGGAAAGAAGATCCCAATGCAGGAAAAAAAAAAAAAAAGCATCTCCTGGCATGTAGTTTGTTCTATCAGGCAAACAGACAAAAAGTGCCAATCTGCTCATTTAAAGTTCCAAAAAGCGGTAGTTTGGCAAACTGGTGTGTACTGACCTGTATTAAGACCTAGCGTTTTGCAAATATAATACTTTCATTTAGAAGAATCGCATCTCTGATAGAGACAGCTTTTTAATGCTCCAAAATTCTGCCTGCAGGCCTTCTTAGCATTACGACACTGAAGAAATACCGTAAATACCCCAGTTATGCTTATTATGAACTCTAACAGCAACCACAGGCTCAAATTACTCAAAGAACGGAGTATTCCTTGTTATGAAATGGAAAGTCGGGGTGAAGGACAACACCTAAATTCAGGATGCATTTCAAAGCCTCCACCCATTTTGACTGGAAAATGAAGCAGAGCCCTTGTAGGTCCATCTGCCTCTGACAGTGGGCAGGACTAGGCACAGGCCGGACCAGAACTGCACTTTCCTCTGTTATACTGGACCATGCAGCAACATGTTCAGGGAGGAAGTCACTTCTTAACTACAAACTGAGGCCAAGTTATACCCAGAAGAAGGGCTTCATATCACTTGAATATCTCTCTACAGATTTATCCAACCTAAGTAACTGCAGATTATCAAAGACTCGGTTTCTTTAAAAATCCCTTTGAGAGTAATTTATGACAGGAGCACAGAGCAGAGGTTGACTCCTCATCCACAGAGTTAGGGTTTAAATCCATATAGCATAAAGATGATGCTAATCTAGGGACGGACATACATTAAGTTAAATTACCAATTGACAGACCATCAGTTGAAAGCACGTGCATCCTACAAATACCCACTCCTGGACTGTGACCTGGCTAATAGCCACCTGATCCTCACTGGACTTACATATCCAGCAGAGACAGCCAAGGTGCCAATCTGCAGAGTAGGGGCCTGCACATCCAACCCAGCCACCCAGAAGCTCAGGTCCACATTAACACTCTCATGGGTGCAGGTCCTGCCACACTTGGCAACAAGTCAGTTATGAAGTGAGAAGGAGCAGTGACACAAACCAACCTGGGAGGCGGGCGTGGGGGTCTTCCCCACAGTGGCATCTGGTTTAATGGGATCAAAATCCAGATCCAACAGGCTGGCTCCCTCCTGGAAGGGCCCAGGGGCATCAAACTTGGCAGCAGTGAGGAAGAAAAGCAGTCCAAGCATTAGATACACACATACACAGGAGAGAGAGGGTATGCGATATCCAGGAGCTAAGGCTGAGAGTGCAGACGACAGGTTAAGAATGCAAACAGCTGATGCGACTGACTGCTTAGTGCCTGTAGTCATAGGCACTACAGCATGGGAACCACTGCACACCAAACTTGTCTCTTCCTCAGGACTCAACCCCCATTCAATTTCTCACCTGCCCAAATGAGCTCACACAGTGTAAGCACCTGACCTGCTAGGGTCAAAAGAATCACTTGCCACTGCCAGATCAGAAAGGTTTCTCTTCTATTTGCAGCTATGCTCCACAGGTCATCCAGCTACCTAAGTATGGCTCAGGACGGACTCCCCCAGCCACTTACTGAAGAACCACCATCCACATCACTTATTTCAGGAGCACAGATCCAGGCAAAAAAGCATTCAAGTTTCTGGAATGCAAGCCTGAGGGACCTCAGACCTAACCCCCAAAGCTCCTACCTTCCTCTAGCACCCAGAGACACAGATTATGACAACTCACTGCTACCCTAGCTAAGGGATTCAAATCACTGCCCAATCCACAAGTACTTTTTCCTATGCTTTTCCATTTCAGGACATTCAAGAATTGCTCACACGCTAGTCTAACATAGCATAAATTGGAGAGGCTTCGCTACTCTCTTCAAAGTCAGCGAAATAAGTTCCTTTGACTCCGAAAAACACACTCGACAGACACTAATGGCACGTTTGCTGACTATCATTAATAGAACAGTCACAAGTGAATGAATCATCAATATTCAAAACTGAGCTATCACTTCTCTTTTCTAGATTTAACCTCATCACTGCGAGACAATTCTTTCTGCTCAGCTTCAGAGAAAGCTGTTCAGTCCAGGAAGTCCAAGCAGATTTGCCCCTTTTCCAATAACCTTCCAAGTTTGCTGGCCCTACTGCTTCAACCAACTTTTCCAATAACACACTAAGTCTGCCAGATTGGTTTCCACAGTTATTTCACAGCCCCACCAGGCAAAAACTCCTGGAAGGTACCAAGAGATACAATTTAAGAGAAAGTCCACTGCATAAAGTCCTCGGCATATGACCCACACCACTATCATCTTCACCTCCTTTAACTTCCTCTTATTCTGATTCTCTTGATAGTTTTTCCCTCCCTTGTGAACATCTTTTGCTCTTTTTGATATCGACAGGCATGAAGACAAGGAATCAAGTCCTTCCATCTCAGAATAATAATAATAAATATATATAATGATATATTATAAT